CCCTACACAAAAAGAACTAAATTTAGAACTAACTTCCCTGTTGAGATATGGCTTCGTTATCTTCATTCAATCATCCAACAAATAGTAACCGAGCACCTACTATGTGCAGAGTGCTATGCTATTACAGAATCAGGCTTCAAAGCATATTGCAGTTTTTATAATAGTATTTTGACAATTGAATAAATACATGTACTAGTCCTCCCATCCCCACCCATGGAAGTGATCCAGGCCTCTCAATCTTTGAGGGTCCTACTGAACATTCAGGAGGGAGCAACAAACAAGCCAGCAACTGTATGTGCTATCAGAAAAAATTGTGTATAATGGGGAGAAGAAAATGAGGTCACATATCAAACTGTTAACTACAGTTACGGCTTGAAAGGACAGTAGCATGATGTGAGGCTGAGCTTTCAGGCAGCCTTCACTTCCCCTGAAGGGTTTGAATTTTTGCAGTATGGACGCATCTGTGTATTATTTGTGTAGTTGTCATAAACCACTATACCAGGCAGAGAATTCAAAGAAATATAACCAAGAAAGGGACAGTGGACCCTGTGAGATGCTGGACCCCATGAGGAGGCAGTGAGATTGAGTTGATAGAGCTTACAGGGTTGGTCCAGGCTGAACAGCTACAACTTTGGGGAGACCATGGTCTACACACCCTGAGGGAAGTTCTGCCTGGCCTGGATGCAAACCTCCTATCCTTGGGCTCTTTCCCCGGCTCAGTCTCCTTCTGATCTCCCAAACAGAATGACTCATGTTAATGTACCAAGTAACAAGATGATCAACAAGATACTCTCATCTGATCTGAAACCTGCCTCTTCATGGGAAGCAATAAATCTTAATAGCAGATGCCATGTGCCTCTGAGCTGAATCAAAGCTAGCTTGTCTAGACTGAAATATCTCATTTCTCCATTCTGACAAATAAGGTGCACCTTGTTCCCCACTGTTAGCCTTATAATCCCCACAGACTTAACACAGTTCCACGAATAACAGGGCAGCCCCTGCTAATCAGCTTCCCCTCTGAGGTCAGTCTGACTACACAGAGATCACTCCAGGTCACGCTAAGGAACTAAGAACCTAATATTACCAATCACATCCTGTTAATGATAGACTGGGCAGTTGTGACAGACACATTCTGAGGATAAAGGTGTTTTCTTAAACCGACATTCAATTTTCTGATCATCTTTTGAGATACAATCAGGTGACAGGGCTTCAACAGAAATAGGCAAGACCAAGTAACTAAGCATTCCAAAATGTTTCTAATTGCAGTGATCTGTGAATGCATCCATATGTGTATACAGTGTTCTCTTTGGGGTATGTACTGTTCTTAGAAACATGTGCACAAGTAAAGCCAGCATAGAGAATGAAATCAAGTGCAACTCTGTAGGAGAGAGGGAGGGAGGAAGGGAAAAAAGGGAGAGAAGGTGGGGGAGGGAGGGAGAGAGGGCACACAGAGGAAAGGCTTTCAGTGAAGTCTGTATCATTTTCAAACTCTGCTCAGAGAGCTTGCATGGTGAAGAGACTGGCCAGATAAAATAAATTTGAATTTTGGATAAACAAAGAATGTGGGTTTTTTTTTTTCGTGTGTGTAACAGTTTATATCAAATATTGCATGGCTGTTCAGTAATTTTATTTGCTAAATCAGACAATCCCAATGGTGGAAGAGGGGCAGACATGCATGCCAACCATCTTTCCGTCTTTGTCACAAATATTGTCAATATCATCATCAATTAACATTTACAGAACATGGGGAAGGAGGTCCATGCTACAGGAAGGCCTAAAGTTTTATCCTCCTACTTGAAACATTCCAAAGGTGCCTATTTCTTCAACTGTGAATTCCTTGAGATCATGCACTAAGCTTTATTCCTCCTTATGTGCCACTTGGCCATGATTTATATGTGATAAGTGCTTAAAAATTTTTTTTCAATAAGTGAGGATATGGAATGGCAGTAAAGGGAGGAAATTTTGGGATGAGAGTATAAAAATGACAACCATGCATAGCGGAAAAATACGGGAACTTCAAAATGGTTGAAAAAAGCCAAATATGTTGCCACTTCCATCACCTATGAGCAGAAACTCCTTGTCATAGTAAGGCTATTGAACAACCTGAGTTTGGTTAGTATTGCTGAACTATCTAAACAAGTACAAACCATACTGATCACCATGGGCAAGTTGGGGTGTGGGGTGGAGAATATATTAGATTAGGAGAGCAAAACTTACACAATTGCCTGTTTCAAACTTATAATTAAAGAAGACAAGGCACTGCAAAAGCTCAAAAGAGGAGAAAGCAAGTCTAACTGGGACTAGGCAAGAAGATTTTAGGTAGAAGATGTATGAGCTATGTAAGAATGCATGGTCCTCCCTGGGCACAGTGGGAACACACCTGTCTGTAATCCCAGTGACTTGGAAGACTGAGGCAGAAGGACTGCATGTTCAAGGCCAGCCTCAGAAACTTAGCAAGAACCTGTCTCAAAAAGAAAAACAAAAAAAAAATAAAAAGGTAATAAAAGGTCTGGGGATATATCCCAGTGATAGAGCACCACTGGGTTCAATTCCCAGTGATGGAAAGAAAGAAAAAAGGGGGGCGGGGGCAAGGAGGGAGGAAGGAAAGAAGAAAGAAAAGAGAAGGAAAGGGAAGGGAAGGGAATGAGGGAATAAAGGAGAAAAAAAGAAAGTGTAACCCATGATCCTTAGGGGTGCTTTGCATTTTATAGATGGTGTGTACATATGTGCATGTTTAAATGAGTGTGTGATCATAAATGTATATATTCATACATACACATGTATTTTTTAAATCAAAAGCTGCAAGAATAGTATATTGAACTCCCACATAACTCTACATTGCTCATACCAACTGAATTTGGAACTGAACCTTGGGGGAAATTGACATTTCCTTTTGAAATACTCCAGAATGGACAAGTTTAAGTAAACATATAGAGATTCCATTTCAGATATATAATAATTTTACTTTTAAGTGTATCTTCTTTTAAAAAATATAGTCTTGTCTTTTACTGATCACAGAAAACTTAAAATTTTAGATAAATAGAAATATAAGAATAAAAATTACTCATTATTCTTCCAGTCAGAGATAACAACTCAAAAATTTTAGCATATATACCTCAAGATTTTTTTCCTGTACATCTATGCATATATCTATATTTAACAAAAAACAGCATCAGAATCTACCATTGAGGATCTTGTTTTTAAGCTACAAAGTGTATTCTACCCAAGGGACCAAATATAGTAGCATACAAAATTTTTAGTGCTTGCAGAGAAGCCTTTATTGACAGTTTACTGAACCAATTACCCATTGCTGTATATTTAAATTGTCTTCCATGCTTTAGCTGTGATGAACTTCCTAAGAGCCTAGTCTTTAAGGACGTCATCATTATTCCTTGGAGATAAATTCCTAGAGGGCGAATTCCCAAGTCAAAGATTATATACATTTTTAAGGCTTTTGATCCATAGCCTCCACTATTTTACCCTCTATGAAGGTTGTGTCAATTTATAACCTGATAAAAAGGGTCCATTTTTCTAATTCCTTTTCAAAATTAGTCACCCCAAGAAATTTGCCTATGAAATCAGGTTTTATATAGAAAATATAGAGTAATATATGCAGTAAGTTTTCTATTCATAAGACACCAGTCCAAAAAGTCAAGATTTTAAGAAATCTCACTTATCCACAATGAGACTTTGATAAAGCCAACTGATTAAGACAAGAATTTTTAAGCCATTTTTTTCAATCAATGTCTGTGGTTTTGGCTGCTTACCATGTTTAAATGACTATGTTGAAAACTAATGTATTTCTTTTTTTAGAAAAATGATAAAATAAGCTAGACTCATTTAATGACATCCCATTTTATTTTCTTAGGGAAAGGAATCCATTTGCTTTGACCATGATCAGAAGATTATTTGGTCAAACAAGTTAAAGGAGGATAACCATCATTACCATACTGGTCCAGGTGTGAATTAGCTTGGCTAAAATGGATGGTATTCTACCGTTTAGCCTTCTTAGTGAAAAACAAACACAAGAACAAACAAAAATCTTTATAGTCCAGAACCAACAAGCAAAAGTTTTAAAACTGTCTAAACTATATCTAAAAAAAGAAAGAAAATGTATAATACCACAAAAAAGAAACATTTGAAAGCAGAAAAATATTCTCCAATATACAACTCACTGGAAGATTTCTAAGGCATATGAAATGCAAGCAAGGCATGGATTTAACTGAAGGAAAGAACAGCTGTGCAATACCAACCTCTTCTAATGGCAACAGAAAACCAAACCATGTCAGTCTTTATTTGATAAATGCCACACTAAATTGACCAACTCTGTTCAGCTTTTTTTGAGACTCAGAAAAAACAAATAAAAAGAAAATATTCAAATACAAAACTTAATTTATCAAGATTGAAAAAAACCTAAATCAGATTATGCTCTGGTGACCTGACTATCATCACAAGTCATCTCATCAATGTCCATGATTAACTCAAGGAGAGAAGATTTTTGACTATAGGGCCAGGCATGAAAATATATTTTCTGAAGCATCAATCTCTATTATGTAACAGAGTAGGTAACTTTTTTAATTAAAAAAAAAAATATTTCTTTTCCAGTTCTGGGGATCGAACCCAGGGCCTCCTGTGTTAGTCAAGTGTTCTACCACTGAGCTACATTCCCAGCCCCTCTGTATCAGTTTTATATGGTGATTCTTTAGTGCTAGGATAGGCCAGATAGGCTATCTAGGCATCTAAGGTAAAGCAATGGTAATGCTGTGCTCACTTTTCTTAAAAAAGAAAAAAAAAAATCTGTTTTGTCAACCAAAGGTAAAATAGCCTCAGGGGCAAAAGAAAGGGGTTACAACCCTGACAACCATCAAATGAGAAATGAGAAAACTCCTCCCCCTAAAGAAATTCAGGTATATAGAGTCCCGTGAAAGAGAACTTAAAACAGCATTGTCAAACTTGGGTGTGGAGATTTTTTGGCTTGGGGAAAAAATATCAAGGTTGACATGACCCCAAAGTACACCAGGCTTGCTCTCCTAGTGGATCTGTTTATGACCCACATCCTCTGTCAGGACTGTAACTTACTAAAAGTTCATTTGAGCACATTCACCTGGCAAAACCTGATGCTTCTGAACAAGATGAGCAATTCAATTCCTGTAGAATGTCTCAGAGAAATCCACGATTTTGAGTTGCCCAAAGAGATCCTATTATCCACCCAGCCTGAGAAGACAAACATCAAGTATTTCTTCTATGAAATGTTCACACAGGCCATCAATATCTTCAGCCAAAACACCTTCAACTCCAGTTGGGATGAGGAACAACTGGTACAACTCCAAATCAACCTTTATGAGCAAGTGGAGTATCTGAAACAATGCTTGAAAAAAGAGAATAAAGAAAAGGAAGATGTGAAAGCTGATAAGAAGAAACACTCAGGAGCTGGGGTGCTCCCTTTGGGCAACCTCAAACTGAGGAGATACTTCAGCAGAATATACAATTTCCTGAAAGATAAAACATACAGTCGCTGTGCATGGGAGATCGTCCGAGTGGAAATCAGAAGATGTTTCTACTACTTTAAAAACTTCATGACACTCCTTACTAGGAAATAAGGTATATTTTTTAGAATGAAATTCTTATTTCCTCCAAAAATCTCCCCCTTGTCCTCGGTCTTCATCTTCCTTTTAAGGATGCTTGTACTATCCTAGAATTAATCCTGTCCTCAGTCAGACTGCTGGCAGTTCATGAAAGGTTTGTTGTCTCTAACTGAAGCCTGAGCTTAGCACATCAGCCACATTTGCCTCTTAGAAAGTCCTGATGACAGATTTAAAGGATGAGATTTCCTCTCCATCTTATTCTACTTTTTCTTCCTTTTTCCTTTGGCCATTTTGTTTAGCTTTGCTCTACCACCTTCAAAAGTCACCAGAATAACAGCTAGAAGATATGGAGTAGAGAATGCTGCAGAATATAACATCCCAACGACCTACCCCTCTGGTGACCAAGGTTGTTTATTCCATAAAAGTTCGGCACATTAAAAAAGTTTATAGAAGCTCTGTAGAGCCAACCCCTCACTCCTTTCCCAGAGGAAAGAGGTTGACATTTCTGGACATTTGCTTGGCAGCTTGGTTGGTTTTAAATTATGTAGTTTGAAGAATGGTATTCATAGTGATACTTAGATGGAGGGTTGAATTCGATGACCATTAAGCTTTCATTTAACCCTTGGGAATTTATGACTTTGAAGCAGAGTGTTCATCATGCCAGATGCATGCTGTCTGATTCCTACATCTAAAGGCAGAGAAAATGCTAGAGAAAAAAAGTATGAATTTTCACTGTTTTTGTGTGTGTATATATATATATATATATATATATATATATATATATATATATGCCTAAAATGAATGAGTTAGAGTCACTTTATGAAAGAATTTTACGTTGGATTTTTCCAGTTACAAGACTACTGCCTATCAGTCAAGTAAAGTAGCCTTCCTGATAATATATACTACTTAGATTTCATCTTTTATCTTTTTAAAAAATTATTTTATAACCAGATTACCTAGATTATTTACTTAACTCTACTCGTATGGCTTCTTGTCTATTTTAATTTGCCACCTACATGAATGAATTTTCTCTTTCTCTTTCTCCTCTGTTTCCATTTCAGAATCCTCTACCTTCATTCAAGAATTAAGCCAGAGAAAGTGGTTACACAAATGAGGGTGAAATGTACCTGATCCAGTTCTTGGAAGACTTCTCCTGCTAATGCTATTAACAACACATTGCTAAAGAGTTCAGATTCAAGATTGTTCCAAGTGCAGGATTCCTGGCCAAAAGAGTCAAAGAAAGTCTTACCCTAAAAGCGAGGCAAATTTCAGCCAAAAATTTAGAAGAGATGTTTAAATGAACAAGAAGCTGTGTGGATCATGGCAAACAGGTTATCAGCAGAAGGATCAGACAATAAAATGAATTAGTGTAATCCCTTTAGCAAAAACAACTCATCAACAGAGTTCTTCCAGATTGGGGAAAAAAAGAAAAAGAAAAAAAAGCAGCATGAGCTATAAAGGAGTTGGAGCATGCAAACTACTAAGCAGAAAATATATGCTTGATTTTTTTTCCTATGAATTTCTACTACCTTTACCTGCTCTAATTACTAGGATGATGGTGGTTACTTTAGTAATTTATGGTTGTGGTTTTGCCAAATATTTCCCTGCACAAGGGAAGATAACTGGCAAATAAAGCTGACACTTTCTAATCAATATAGATTGTCTGATTGTGTGGTCAGGAACAGCCGTCACAATGGTATGCTTTTATAAAGAGCACATCTAACAAAAGAGAAAGCAGAACATCCCCACTGAAATGAATAGTCAAGGACACCATTGGGCATCATCATAAAGGAAGAAGTAGGAAAAGTATTTAATCTCACTTTCAACTTAAGAAATGCAAATAAGGCAGCAATAAAGATCCCTTCCCATCTGTATGGCAAAGATGAAAAACAATAATATAGAGTGTAAGTAGAGGGTAGGATATGCAAAACAGATCCTCTTGCATATTGTTAGGGAGATGATAAACAAGACAATATGGCAATCTTAAATATCCTAAAAAGTATATCAACTTCTTTCAGAAAGTTATTTATTAAGGATACAATTGGATAAGATTGTTCCCTGGAATGCTGTTCATAAAACTACCTCCTCCTCCTCTTCTTTTTGTTTCTTTTTAATTTTCACTTCTGTGTTTTCTATTTTTTTCTACAATAATTTTGGGGGGAATTTTTTAAACTCCAAAATTTAAAAAGATAAGCAAAAGCTTATCTTCCCCTATGAGTACCCTGTTTTCCTTATATCCTTTCACATTTTTAATAATACTTTGTGGGGGCTGGGGTTGTGGCTCAGTGGTAGAGCACTTGCCTAGCATGTGTGAGGCACTAGATTAGATTCTCAGCACCACATATAAATAAATGAATAAAATAAAGGTCCATCAACATCTAAAAAAAGTTTTTTAAAAAATAATATGTTTTGTGGTACTCCTTGAACAAGCAGTACCCAAAGCAGGCCTTCTTATATAAGGCCTTATTGTTGTTTTGCTGCTGCTGCTGCTAAATTTAAAGAATCTTTCCTTGGTGATCATTTTCATAATGAAATTAAAGTGTCTCCCAGTACTTCAAAGATTTTGCTTTTTTTTTCTTTTGGTGATGCTACTGGTAATATCCACAACTTGCTGGGAAAGTTATCTGTGTGACCATATTCCTGACTTAGCAGTCTCACTTCTCTGTTAAATGAAAGCTCAAAAGTTCTGTTAAGTCAGGAAAGGTAAACCTAGATCTGTGCAGGGCCCAGCATAATAAAATTTCACTAAAAATCTCTGAGTAGGGACTGGGAATGTAGCTCAGGGTCACAGCACTTACTTACCATGCAGCACGCAGTAGATACTGGGTTCCATCACCCAGCATGCCAAAAAAAAAAAAAAAAAAAGTTTGGATGGGTACATAGTTCACAAAAGTCCCCACATAAGCTTCCTCCTTCCCCTGCACTGGGGAGGGATCAAAAGTTGGAGAGTGGGAGGACAAGGGATGGGGAGGTAGCTCAGTGGTGGAGTGCACAAGGCTCTGGATTGAATCTGCAGTTGGGGGTGGGGAGCAGGAAGAGAAGAAGAATGTAATTGAGTCTCCTTGGGAGAGAGACTGATTGGGACTGGGGGAGGGGGGGAGGAACCGGCAACACCGGGTCAACCGCAACGCTGAAGAGAGGTATAGGTTCCAACAGGTGCACAGGCTCAGACTCCCCTGATAGAAAACCGGCTCTCCAGAAACCATCTGGGGCACCTTCCTTCTCAGGGTGGCTAATTTGCTTTCACCCTAGTTCCTTAGTAAATGGTTCACACTCAATAAGAATCAGTACGAGTTTTGCGCATCTAATTTTTACAGGCAAACAGGGCCACCTGTAACCTACCAGGCGCACCCACAACGGAACTTGAGGGCATCTCACGCCACTGTTCTCAGCGGCTTGGAAGCAGGAATACTGCTCTGGCCCCATCTGCACCCTGTGCGGTGGTCTGCTTTTTCTACAATGCAGGGAAAGGACTCGGGGTTTGAACTTGAGCCCTACGAGAAATTAGAACTCTCCATATACTCTAGAGTGAGCCACGACATCACTATTTCCAAGTAGAGTCTTGAGGTTCCTAAGTTATCAGCATCTCCAATCTTTATGGAGAATCACATGCCTTCCTGCCTTGGGAAACTCAAACCCCAGAACCTCGGCCTTATGACTACCAGAGGTGCCCTGGCCCGCTTCCATTGCCCTAGCAGTGGCCCAGCCACAATGTCTTTAGCTAGAGATTGAAATCCTCTAGAACCAACCGCTGGGCACCCTCGATTGGAGCAGAACTTTGCTGCCACTCTTTTCGAAAGCAGCATCCCTCTCGGATTTTCATCCTTTGCGGCGCCCTTGGGATAAGATCTGAGAAATGCGCCCCGGGCCACTGGCAGCAGAGGAGGCGGGGAAAGAACAACTTTCTCTCCGCCCTCTAACCACAAGGCCCGAGTGCAGCGGCCTCGGTAGGGTCGGGCTCTTCTCCTTCCCCAGCCGGGATCCCAAACCCGAGCTGGCCCAGGGGCTGGCAATGGAAGGAGGGGGAGGGAGGCAAGAGGTGCTTCCTTCTCTCCCCAAGCCCCACCAGATGTTGGAAAAGCAAACAATAGGGGAAACGTGGAGAAACAAAAGGCCATTCGACACGATCTCAGTGGCTCGGTCGCCGGGTCCCTGCGGAAAGGGTTATGGGAGGGGGTCAGGAATGGGGATTGGAGCGATCTGGAATGGTTTGGGGTCCCCTGGTAGCGTCGGGCGCCATAAGTCAACCATTCGCTCTAATCCCCGCGCAGGGGTCCAAAGGTAGGGTGGGGAAATCAAAGAAAAGTTTAAGGGTTTCCACCATCATCGTGCAGGGAAAGGCAGGGGCTGTAATTCCCGATGTTTGACAGTTGGCCTAAGAGTTCAGTAGAATTTGTACGTCCTATATACCCTCCTTCCCTCTGTGAAGCATCAACATCCCGTCAGCGGGCGGGGGGGCTAGGGAGCCACCCGGTTGAGGGTGCAGAGTTTCCTACTCACTCCCAAATCGAGCCACTTCACTCAAGATCAAGCCGCCCAAAAGCTGTCCCCCTGCTCAGACGCACTTTTGTAAAAGTTTGTCTTCCCGCCATCCACAGCCCAGCGCGCACCCTGCAGGCATAAGCGATTCGGAATGGCATCGGGATAGATTTGCACCCTAAAAGGAAGATTTTCTTGGTATATCTTTTAAAATAAAGGCCACGGACCCCTGATTAGAAACTGAACCAACGTTCCTGCCCGGGAAGTGCGCACCGGGAGCCGGCCAGAAGCCGAGACTCAGGCACGGTTTAAAGAGGGCTCCAGCCCCGGAAGCCCGCGGGAGGCGGCTAGTGAGCGGGTCCACCACCTCCAGGGTGCCTGTTGCACCGGCCCCAAGTGCGCCCCACACCTCTGCCGCCTGGACGCAATCAGAAGCGAGTTGCTGAGGGATTGTACCACCTTCCCTCGCTGGGAGCGGGGTTCTTACCGTGGGGTTTTACCTTCAGCCTGGGGCCCTGTCGGCTCCCTTTGCCGGGTCAGCAGTAGCAGGAGCAAGAGAAAGAGGGTGAGCTCCAGGAGAAGGGGCGACGTTTGCCGATCCACGCGAGGGACTTTCTGGTCCGCGCGCTGGGCTCCGGCTGCAGTCTCCGCGGCTCCAAAGCAGCCCCCACTTGCACCCAGCACGCCGCACAACCCTCCCGGGCTCTACTATCGCCACGGGGCGCTGAGCAGGGACCTCTGGCGGCAGCCTACGGAAAGGCAGCTACGTGGGGGAGAGAAGTCAAGTCGCCTTTAGAATCACCCTCTCTCCAAAAGATTTGGAACACGGACAGTCTAAGAGAGCACCCAACCATGCAGAAAGACACAAACCCTGGTGGCTAGGGCGGCAAGAATGATGTCGGTTGGGCCCACGATGGCCATTTCCAAGGCACCCAAAAAGGAACAAAAGGCTCACCTTTTTTGAGATTTTCTGACTATTGAAAAATGCCACAGACACAGAATGGAGCAGTAATCATTGGGAAATACTTTGGAATTTCAGCAGATTAACTAGAACAAGCTGGGAGCCATGGAAAAAAATATGAACTTTGAAGCAAAACCCACACAGCCTTCCACTCTCTATTTGTGTGATCTTGGTCTACCTAGGACCTTTAGGCCTCAGTTATTCTCCTGTGTAGGTTGAGGGGAGAGGAGAAATATGTGCTTCCCAGGGCAGACAGGGAAGTTGTTGAGAATAAACTAAATATAAAAAATATTCTTAGTTCATAGAAGTTGTCTAATATGAGCTTCCTGCCTTTCTGAATGAAAGAATTGGATCTTCTATTATTTTTCTTTTCTTCTTATGATAGCATCTTAATTCATATTTTTACATTTTACAATTTTTACTTTACAGTTTAAGGAGGTGTGGAAATATAGTAAGTAGAATCTAAGATATATAGAGAAAATATATATCCTCCTCTTTTTGAGGAGGCTGAAAAAGATTTTTCCAGGTCTACTAAATGAGAACCTCTAAAATCACATATTTTGCAATATCAAGTCATCTTTGATATTGCAAGAATAATTCAATGAGTAATCACAGCCCAGTGAGATCAACCTGGATTAAAGGATTCTATGTAATTCTGTGTCATTTGGGCAATAAGATGTTGTTGACTGTGGATATAAAACTCAAACATAATGGAGGAAAACTACCATATACAAAAGTGCAGTCACCCTAAGGTTTCTTCTGTCACTGAGGAAGACAAGCTTATTTACAAGCTGCCCCAATCTTTACACACTCAAACCCCCATCACTGCATTGAAAGTTTTTTTGGGCACTGTGGCAAGCAAAGAGCTTATCCATCATGCAGAACAGTTAGGATGAAACTCTTAATTACATCACTTAATCCTTATCAGTCCTTCTCTCACTCATTAGTCCCTAATTCACAGGAGAACGTTAGCTCCTTGAATTCTCATTACATGATATTTTTTTTTCCTGTCAAGAAGAAAGGATAAATAAGATTCTTTGACTCAGAAACTAAAGTAGAACCTTGAGATACAACTTTTGCCCTTAGAGGTAGGGCTCATCCCTCTGGGCACAGATAAGCAGGTCATGGACAGAGCTGAGGGCATCCAATTTGACCAACAAACATTAGCAGAACTGTCTGTCTCTCTCCTTGGGCTTCATCCTCACCACTAGGGAAAAAAGAGATTTTATCCCACTTCTATCCCTGTAGTGGCTCCTTTCCTGGGGAGGACTGGCAACTGGGAGAAGTCTTTGGTGTTCCCTGACTAACTTTCACTTCACCCACTCTTGGATCCAGCTGCTCTGCCTGTGACCAGGTGACTGGAGGAGGAGGACAGCTCTACCTTCAGCATCTGCTCTGAAGGGCCATCATTCTATATTTAAGCCCTCCTTGGTCCCTCTGGGCTACATCTCTATCCATGCTATGAAATGCTCCTTGGCTCCCAGAAATGCCAGGGAAGTTTCTACCTTAGACCTTATCATTGTGACCTCTGCTACAGCAGTTTTTCTGATGGCTCAGCTGCTTCATGGCTCAGATACTCTCTCGCTTCCTTCAGCTCTTTGCTCAAAAGTCACAGAGGCCTCCTGTTTCAATCTTATTTAAAATCACAATCATCCTTTTCTTCTGACACACCCTGGCCACATTCCTTACTCCAGTTTTCTCCATAGAATTTTCTGTAATCTGATATACTATATATTTTACTTGTTTTGTTCATTGCCTATATTAGTATTCTGTGGCTGCAGAACAACATACCACAAACTTACTGGCTTAAAACTATGCAAATTTATTACCTTATAGTTCTGGAGGTTAGAAGTGCAACATAGCTCTTATTGGACTAAAATCAACATGTTGGCATAGTTGCATTCCATTCTGAAGTCCATAGAAATGATCCATTTTCTTGTGTTTTTGTTGTTATTGACCAGCTTCTAGAAGGTTGTCCATATCCCTTGCCTCCTTTTTAAAGCCAGCAATGACACGTTGAGTCCTTCTTTTACAGCATCACTATGACTTTTCTGCCTCCCTCTTTCATTTTTAAGGACTGTTGTTGTTGCCCTGGGTCTGTTGGCTTTCCTTCTCTATGTTAAGGACAGCTGATTAGCAAACTTAATTCCATCTGTGACCTAATTTTCCTTTGCCCTGCAATATAACATATTTGCAGGTTATGGAGATATATTGTGTAGTCTCTAGGCACTGTTATTCTATCTACCCATGCTTACTTTTTCTACTAGAATTAATGTAAACTCTAAGAGACAGGGACTTTGGTCTATTTAGTTCATTGCTATATCCACAGATTAGCTCAAAAAATGTATAGACACTTGATATTGACTGAAATGTGTTCCCTTGAAATTGATGTATTAAAGCCCTGACTCCCAGTGTGATGTTTTGGGGGATGTAATTAGGGATTGATGAGGTCATTTGAGGTAGGCCCTTATTATAGGATTAGTGGCAGCAACAGCAGAGGGAGGAGAAGGGAAACAGGAGGAGAAGGAACAAGGGGAAAGGTGAAGAGGAAAGTAGGGAGAAGGAGGAAAAGGAAAAAAGAGCCCCTTTTCCACCATGTTAAAGACACAGGAAGAAGGCAGCCAGCTGCAAGCCAGGAGGGGCCCTCACTAGAAATCAAACTGACTGGCTCCCTGATCTTAGACTTTCGAGACTCCAGAACTGTGAAAAATAAACATCTGTTTAAACCACCCGGCCTGCGGTATTTTGTTATGGCAGAATAAATGGATGAATAAATTATTGAATTAATAAATAAGAGACCTCACTGTAAGCATTGCAAATGTTTAACATCTACAAGGTTCCCAAAATATGTCAGATTCTTGCTAAATATTTTACATGAAACAGCTCATTTAATTTTCATGAGATCCCATGTGGTAAGTACAGGTGACTATAGGCTAGAAAGTTGAAGTAACTTGCCCAAGATCATGTAATTAGTAAGCACGTAGCCAGATTTTACACTTGGCCTTGTGACCTGAACTCATAGCTGTAAGCCTCACACTGCCCTGCCACTGTTGTGTGTCATTGGGCAACCTGGATCTTGCCCTCACAATGCTTAGGCTATAAGAACAGCAAGAGAAACACAAAGAGCACTGGTTCAAGAGAAGATGGGGGTGGGTAAGATCTTTTTTTTTTTTTTAAAGCCCCAATAATTGTACATGGAACACAGACACAGGAAAACAAAAGGGCTGAAACGATTGTGCAGAGTTTTAGGGTAGATGAAGTATTTGAGCTGACCTTCGACCTTGAAAATGCGGGACATTGCTGGAGTTAGATTCAGATCATTGAGATAAAGAGAACCACAGAGAAACATACAGAAAGGAAGAAAAAATTGAGACGTATTCTGGAAATAGAGATTAATTTAGTTGGTATGAGGACCAGGCAAGTAGATAGATGATAAGGGCTGGGGTCCCAAATGCTAGGCAAAAGATGAAAGGAAATTTAATGATTCTTGTTAGCAGTTATCAATAGGGAAAAATTACCTGCAGCAACTGCCAAAGTCATGTTCAAGCTGTTAACTCAAAAAGCAATAAGTTGAAGAGAAAAATCTTCTTGCTGGTTAAAATGTTTTTAAAGAATGTTCACACTGTTTTCCAGGAAGACTGAGGCAGGAGGATTGCAAGTTTGAGGCCAGTCTAGGCAACTTAGTGAAACCCTGCCTCAAAATTAAAACTATTTTAAAAAGGGGCTGGAGATGTCTCTCAGTGGTAGAGTTCCCCTGAATTCAATCTCCAGTTCTGAAAAAAAAAAAAAAAGAAGGAAAAAAAAAAACTGAGGGAGGGGCGGTGGCAATTTTGAACCAATAATTCTGAGTCTAGAGTAAAATCTCATATATCTTAGATTTTAAGGTTCTAAAAGAGCAGAAATGGACAATAAGGGTATGTAGCCCGTTCCTGACCTCTGGACAAGCATTTTATTTTCCCATTTCCATTGCATAAGTGAAGTATCTGGTTGAAACAATTGAATTCTCAAGATTTCAAAACTACCAAGACGGGGGCATTGACTCCAGATCTTATGTACGTAAGTGCTCTGTGTGTTGTGTCTTCATATATATATGGAAAAGGCCACATTTGTCTGAGATGAAGTTGTTAGCGTTCAACTGACTTCTCTCCGGGTTCCTGTGGAAGAAATCTGAGGAATTCATGGATCTTAACTGCAAGCTCTCCCAGGGAAGAGAGGCCAGGTTCATCTGAAAGATACCAGGGAGACAAGGTGGTGTGGTGATTAAGGGGGTGGCCTTCAGGGTCAGAGAGACCCAAAGTAACTGATTCTAACTTCTCTAAACCTTAATGGCCTCATCTTATAAAATGGGGATATCAATAAAAGTAGTTGTATGAATTTAATGAAGTAATGCATAAAATGTGCCTGGCACAGTGCCTGTCCCATGGTAAGGATCAAGGCATGCCACATATTGTTCTTTCCCACATAATTCTCACACCACCCATAGGTAGGTCCCCCTCCTTGTGAGGGTAAAAGACCCTAGCACAAGCTATAATAGTCACACTGAATCTGGAAGCTTCACTGTCCCTTGGGATGTTAGTCTCTGGAATTGAAAACAAAAAGAGAGTATTTCCAGCTAGTTTGGTATTGAATGAATAACATTCATACTTCTCACCCATTTCTATCATTTTCAAATTATACATTTCCTCTAACAGGAAAGC